GCGGCTGTGTGGTGCTCAGTTGCCGACTGAGGTTAAACCATGACAGGGCACAATCTACAGGTTGTTAAGCAACTTGTCTGACTTTAAGGGTGAACCAAAGGGATCATGAGGAAAGATTGTATTTGGGATGTATGTGTTAGGAGGTAGAATGGAGAATGTGCAGTTAAGGAAGTTGGCCGTTCATCGAGACCTCAGATTTAAGGATACAGAGTCACATACAGAACCCATCAGTTCTGGTGGCGAGTGTAGCAACCATAGCTCTACTGTTTCCAGGACCACCACATCCAATACTTTGAGCCAACACCCATCAATAGACATAAGACGGTTCTGAGCAGCATCATTCAAGTGCAGGTGTAGTGCATTATCCATGGTGCAGGAGTAAAGCCAAGATTCGGACTATTTCTGTCTGTGCCTGTTAGCCAATGCTATTATATATAAATTCGTGCTATTGTATATTGGCTTTTTGCAGCTGTGATTGAAATTAAAATTGGGTGTTGCATAAAAGCCCAGAGGAGCAATGCATGTGACATAGGAATTGAATGAGGACGAGGTAAAGCAAGACCATCCTTGTAATGTAAATTGTTCACATGGTGTGATTTTTCTGGTTGTTATGATTCTACTTCACCTCCCAAATTTGTCACTGCAGATATGCCAGTGGACACAAAACCATGAAAATGATCAGAAATGTTGTTGCATCACTTCAGAACATAACACTTGATGAGCCATTATGCTGTACTGTTGCTGAAGCTGTTATGTCCCTATATTTAGAAGCAGTTTGTTTTTCAAGCTGTGGTTACAGTGATCCATTTTCAATTGGGCATGAAACACTGATGAGACATGCACTGATGAGTTTCCACATACTGTCCTGAAGATTCATGTTAACTTGTTTCACAGGGAGACTTTTGGGTTTTTTTTTTTCTGTTTTATAGGATGTCTCAGAAAAGCTTTCCATCAGCTAAACTTAAATTAAAACCTCTTCTCTGGTCACTTATTGCATACCAGCTGCAGTTGCTTAGCATTCTTTTAAGAATCCATCAATTAATCTGTTGTAGACTAGAGAAATAGGCTTTATTTCTAGTTTTTAAAAATGATTTTTTTTGTTTCTTGTGGAGTATCCTAAAAGGGTATCTGTCTACAGTATCTCACTGCAGGAGCCTTAAGAAAGCATATTACTGGTCACATATTCCAATGATGAGTGGGGTCCCTCAAGGGTCCGTATTGGGACCACTATTATTTAGCATCTTTGTTGGGGACATGGACAGTGGGATTGAGTGCACCCTCAGCAAGTTTGTGGATGACACCAAGCTGAGTGGTACAGTTGATACTCTAGAGGGAAGGGATGCCAATTCAGAGGGACCTTGACAGGCTAGAGAGGTGGGCCCATGCAAACCTCATGAAGGTAAATGAGGTCAAGTGCAAGATCCTGCGCCTGGGTCAGGGCAATCCCAAACATGGATACAGACTGGGCGATGAGTGGATTGAGAGCAGCCCTGCCGAGAAGGACTTGGGGGTATTGGTGGATGAAAA